CGGGTTCTTCTTGCAAAAGGGAAGTAAGCCGAAGGTGTTACTCGTCATAGTGCCCTCCTTCAGCAACGACTAGGTCGTAGCATCCACCACATCATCTGGTAAGTCGTCAGGACTATGGCGTAACGGGTCATCCTTTTCGCCTGTATAAGTACACATTAAGCCGGGACGGCGGCTTAATGGAAGTACTCGCCAAGAAACCTAGACTCGGACCAGATCGATGCCGTTTAAACCATTTCCCAAGAGAGCTTTGATCTTGTTGATGGTGGGATTGAGAGGCAGACGTTCAACGGCTGTCAGTTTGTCTGGTAGCGGATGGTTGGACTCAAGGCGCATGGCGCGAAAGCCGGGCAGAAGCTTCTCATCAGCCGGAGAAGTGTCCTGACAGTAGAACCATGTCTGGTTCCAAGATTTTGGGTGACTCGGCAGCTTAGCATAAGGAAAAAGACAGTCTCTCCGTCGCTGGATTGAGATGCCGCCAAGCTCAAGACTGGGCCCATTGGCACGTTCATTTTGCCGGTTCATGTAGAAAAGTTCCCTGAATAATAGCAGACTTGGCTCCTCTCCCAGGTACACCTCGTAGAAGACTTGGAAATTGCAAATATTTGACACGGAATTGGGTCCGATGTCTTGAGGTCTAAGGTCAAAGAAATTCAAAACCTCCCTGAAGAATTTTGAGCCGGGAGGAGCAAATCCCCGGCTCATATGATCCGTAAAAATTATTACCTCTCCTTCTTTGGGTTGAGGCTTTTCTTCAGACGGGTCAGGGGCATGATAAGACATGACCTCCTTTTTTGGCAGATGGCCAGATTTCACAAACTCAGCCAGTTTGCTCTTGGTAACTATGGATGGGACCCAATTGCAAGTTACAGGGGCCTTGGTAGCCTTAGGAGCCATGACAACAATTGGCCTATGGAAAAATAAGAAGATTTCAATTTTAACCCGGGAGAAAAATCCTAATTATTCAAGGTGGTGGCTTAATGAGGGTCCTAATGATATAAGGATGACTGTGCAACAATATTTAAGCCGCTACAAGTATCAAGAGAAGTTCAAAATTCTTCAGGTCATGAGGAGCAACTAAGGTTCTGTGTCAGTTATTTAAGCCGGACACCTGGATAGTTGTGTTTAAAGGCATTTAACATAAGGAATTTTCCGGGTGATAAACACAGGTTTCATAATCTTCTACAGATATTTAAGATCAAAGGTCTGTTCTGATAAGAAAATTTTCTAGACCTAAAGACTAACGCAGACGTGTTCATAGGCTCGAATGAGGCTTTTATATAGAGAAAGGGATCTGTTTTTTATCCAAAATAAGTGCGAAAACAACTACCGCGGCCATATTATATCGTTCTCAGATCAGACAAGGAGTCTAAGAGGAAAACTAACAAGGGTTTGGCTCTAATGGTGATGAACTCTGACGAACTCGAAGAAGCCCTAATGCGGATCTAAGCAAGGAATGGAAGGGAACTTACGGATCTGGATGGGCTGCGGAGGATCGTCGCGTTTCTCTGGTCCAACCAGGTCGATGCAGCGGCCTGAGACGGTGAAGACATGAAGCTCGACAGCGGCGGCAGCGGAGCTCGAGAGGAGGCGAGAGGAGGAAGACGACTGAAAGAGGGAAGAATGGAAGATCAGGGTCGCGCCTATTTATAAGAGAAGGATAACTGAGGCGGCGCGAGAAACGAGGAGATAAAATTTATTATCCAGCGACCCTAACGCCTCGATTCTCGGGATGGTTAGTAAAAATAAGTTTTATTGAAGATGACGTCACGGTGATTTAATCCAGATCCAGATGATGACGTCACGGCGGGTTAAAATCTTCATGCAAGACAAAAGACTAAGGACAGTTCCATAAGATATTTTAAGATTGACATGAACAGGTTCAAATCAATCTTGGGCCTAATGTTGGGGATATAACTATTTGTGTAAGCCGCCCAGGAGGGGCCGGGTTACGCAAAGAAGACTTACCAGAGAGAAGCCCAAGACCAAAGGTGAAGATGGCGGTTCATAGAGGGCTTAAGGCCCGCAGGCGACTTAAGGCCCGTTGTAATAAACCGCCATAGTAATATGACTTGTATCATAAGGTAGACTTAACTAGTCACCGAGCCGGACACTGTTTATAAGCCGGCCGGGACTCTGTAAGCCGCAGGACGTCAACCCGTGTATATAAGGGGACGACCTGCTGGCGGCTTAGGGCAAGAAACAACTCATCGAGAGCCGGGCATAGCGTATCTTGCTCCCTGGTCATCGAAACATCAATACCAACCCAACTAGACGTATGCCTTACCTTCACCGTAAGGGGCCGACCTAGTATAAAAACCTCTCGTGTCCTTTGTCCCGATTAACCCCTTCAAGCTTCCTAGTTGCGATGGCTCCACAACTAAGTCCTTTCACGAGGACATCTGACGTGATAATTCCACGACAGCTCCCGTCCATGGCGATGAGCTGCAAGGCAAAGAACGTCGCCCGGAGGGAGCGACGAAGGAAGCAGCGCGAGCGGGAAGTGGTAGCCAAGGATGTTGAGCACACCGATGAGGATGTGTCCCTTTCATTGTGCCCGGTCACCCTACATCCATCCATCCTGCCGCTGACAAGGAAGCCACCGCCCGCCCGCGATCAACAATGATCCGACGACTGCCTAGACGATTCTCGACGCATTTTCGTAAACGGAGGCGCAGGGCGACGAGGTGTGTGACTCACTGCAACTCCGACGGACGTGGACGAGCATGGATGGTGTCGGCTCCCGGTCTACCCACATCATGTTCGACGGAATGTCCCAGTAGGAGACGGTTCAAATTTTGCTCCATTTGGTATCGCTTCGTTCGTTATATAGTTGCTATGCCATTGGACCAAATAATTGCATATGCCATTGAATTAATTAGTTGCATATTTTGTTAGTTTATTTGGAATCATGACCATTATAAAAGAATTTCACGTCAGGCATGATCACTGTGGGTCAGCATCCTACGGACCCTATGGAATGACTCGCGGGATCCAAATTGTCCTATGTTTGGTGTTGAGAGAACATCGCGCACTAACAAGAAAAGAACGACAACGATACCCAAGGCAAGAGGTCCGACATTCATAACATTTGAGGATGCTTTGTTGGTTAAATCTTGGTTGGCCACAAACATGGAAACAAGAGGACAACAAGTATTAGGAAAAGATCCACAAACACTATCATGAAAATAAGGAATACGTGGTGCCGCATCTTATAAATACCACTTGCAATGTGGCCTCTCTCCAACATAGATGACCCACCATCCAAGATAGCGTGAACAAGTTTGTCGACCACTATGCTTCCGTGCTTGGCCTAAATTAAAGTGGAATTAGAGTCCAAAGTCACGTAAGTTGAATTGCTTCATTTCGTCATAATTTGCATTGCTAGTGTTTATGTCCGATTACTTTATTGTTTGATGGATAGTGTTGGCGGCCACTTCGAACCAACAAACCGAGAAGAAACCATTCAGTTTTAGCTATTGTTGGATGAAATTGAATGGCCAACCAAAGTGGAATTAACTTGTGTAAGACCTCAAAATTGGCAACAAGAGGTTGAAGAAAAATGATGGTTCAAACTCCAATCAATCCATTGGATTGGATGCTGAAGATGAAGAAGTTGTTGGGAAGAATGGTGACGGTAGAGAAATCTGTCAATACCCTTGGTAGGGTGGCGAATGCGGCCAGAAGTGTCAGAGCGGAGGTCGCACAAGGGGGTTACCTAGGTTCGGCCCTCTTATTGAGATAAGATGCTGCATCATGCTTCTGATTTGTATTCATGGTGGTGCACCTCGTACGAGGGGGTTACAGTGTAGAAAAGAATACGGCTACCGAGATTACAATCGGTGTTGTAGATTAGAATGGCTACCCCTAGCCCCGCTTATATAGACGACTGAGGGCTAATGTTTACATTGGGGATCTAACCAACCTCACGCCGCCGCCATCTTGGCTTGCACGCCAAGATGATCTCTCGATCTCTACCTGGGCCTCTGCCCCCTTCAAGAATGAAAACGCATGCGGGCTCCTCAACAACCGTGGCATGTCTTCACGAGTCCAACGTCAAGGGGTTTTCGAGCCTACTGAGTGCACGGCTTGTGGAACAACACCTTTATGAGTTCAGAATGACCAGCAGGGAGCTCCGAGGGCTCGGGCTTCCCAGCGTGCTCCATTTATCCTGAGGCCTTTGTGGCATTAGGTTGTATGTCCACCTGCATGTTCTTCATTGTTTTGGAGTGTCGCGCCTTGAGATCTGCATGCCTAGGATACCGTGACTTCATAGTTTCGGGGTACCTCATCTTGAGCTTTGCGCTCTAGTTATCGAGGCGTCGCCAGCCCACGTCTTGTCATGTCCCGTTATTAATGGCAAGAAAACTGAAAACATTAGTCCGATAATATATATGTTGACATGAATTACCAAAACCACCAAGTAATCAAACGTGCTTTCAGTACGCGATGGCTTCGTATTTGGTCTATCCTGCGAAGACTAGAGGACATCAACCCATTTATGATAACGTCAACCCGACTGAAGCATAGGGTCAGAAAGTTTTTCTCCCATCATGGATGATGGTATACTCTTGGATAGAATCTACCTCATCTTAGGTTGGCGTTTTTGTTGTAAAATATTTGTTTTTGTTATTGTTTGAACGAGTTGTCTGTGTAATATGCAGAGGCCGGACATTCACTCAGTTCAATTGTATCACGTCGATATATCAGTCCTCCACATATGAGTCGTGGCTAATCGATGATGTTTTTTCTCTTTCAAATCAGCACATTTCGATCTTTGCTGTAGTTACTGATATCACATGAAAGTTCATTTTAAATAATAAGCTGATGAATCACTGAAAATACGCAAATTTACAGGGGAATGTTACAAATCATGGTGGAAAATCAAAACCCCTAGTAGAAGTACAAAATAAAGATCACAAATACCCCCCAAATGGCAGGAACTGAGAATAGAACGTGTGGGCAGCCTTCAATATCCCTGGTGTTTGTATCTTTGCCGGTCATTAGCACATTGGAAGATCAACTGGAGGCGCCTCCAGTGACTGTAGCTCGCCATACCCGTCCTCGACCAGAAACGCCATTGCCAGGCCCCAGGTGATGTGCACATCGAGATGGCAATGCATGAGCCACACCCCCGGGTTGTCGGCGCGGAACCGGATGACCGCCCAGCCGTTCACCGGCACCGCCACGGTGTTCCTCTGCGGTGGGTTCTCGAGGTTGAACTTCGCGGCGTCCTTCTCGGCGTCGTAGTTGCCGAAGCCCTCGGCGAGGATGTAGAAGTCGTAGCCGTGGAGGTGGATGGGGTGGTTCTCCGGCGTGACGATGCTGGTGTCCTGCAGGACGACCTGCACCACGGAGCCGAACCTGAGCTTGTACAGCTTGGTCGCCGGGATCGGCTGCCACAGGCTTTGGCTGACGTTCTGCGCCGTGTAGTCGAACTGCACCGGCGGGTTGGCCGGGAAGTCGGTGGTGTACACGCCCGGCATGTCGTAGTAGTGCGCGTGGAGGAGGGAGGTGGCCTTGGGGAAGACGAACGAGACGTTGTTCATGCTGGCCGTGAAGCGGGTGTTGTTGTTCGGCCCGGCGCACAGCTGCCCCGGCTCGCAGTTGAACAGCCCGAGGCCGACGGTGAAGAAGAGGTTCTCGTCGACGGGGCTGGGTATCTCGACCTTTCGCGGGCTCTTGATGCCCGCGGCGAAGGCCGTGGCGGCGCCGGTGTCGTTGAAGGCCGGGAGGGTCGGGAACGCCGGCGGGATCGAGGGGCCGAAGTCGGTGGTGCAGCCGCAGTCGTACTCGAGGATGGCGGTGGTGGTGGTGTTGTCGAACGCCACGCCCTGCGTGGTGACGTAGCCGCGCGCGGCGATGTAGTACCGCGTGGGCGCCTGGTCCATGGTGACGAGCACGTCGGTGGTCTGGCCCGGCGCGATCATGAGCACGGAGGTGACGAACGGCTTGGTGTAGGACGCGTCGACGCCGACGACCGTCATCTTGTGGCTGGCGATGGAGACGAAGAGCTCATGGTTGAGCGCAGAGTTGATGAACCGCAGCAGCGCCGTCTCCCCGGGCTTCACCGAGATCGCCGTGGTGTCTGCCAAGAGCCAAAGCGAACGACACACACGTCGTCAGTTTACATGTTCGTGTCACGCACGATGGCTGCATCGATCGCCAGCGAGATCAGTAGCTAGCGGTACCTTGGCGGGAGCAGTTGTAGAGGTCGCCGGGCTGGCCGTTGACGGTGAAGGCGTCGGAGACGTTGGGCGCGCCGCCGGTCCTCTGCGCCTCGCGGATGACCTCGACGGGGTTGGCGTTCCACCACTCGCCGAGGAGGATGGGGACCTCGCGGGCGGGCTTGTCGAAGGGGTAGGGCTTGTCCTCCCGGGGCCGGATGATGAGCGCGCCGTAGACGGTGGCCCGGAGCCAGGAGCTGTGGGCGTGCCACCACAGGGTGCCCTCCTGGCCCTCGATGGTGAAGCGGTACTTGTAGCTGCCGCCGGGCTTGATGGGGCACTGCGTCACGAACTCGGGCCCGTCCGCCCACCCCGTCCTGAACTGCCGGATGCCGTGCCAGTGGATGGTGACGTTGTACTGCGCCTGGTTGACGACGTTGACGACCAGCGTGTCCCCCTCCCGGACCTCCAGCGTCGGCCCCGGGAACTGCCCGTTCACCGTGATGATGTTGTGCTCCTCGCACAGCCTCTTCACCGGCGTCTCTTGGACCTTCACAACACAAAACAAACAATCAGCAAAGCCGTACCCCAGAAATGTTGCTTAGAACCATGGTCTGCATTGCTAGTAGGAGAGACAGGGAGGTAGCTAGGAATAGGATGACGTACGATGAACTCGTGGTGGTGCACTTTGGTGGCGCCGGCGAGCAGGGCGGACGCGAGGCAGCCGAGGAAAAGGAGCAGCCCGGAGGACGCCATTGCCGGTCCACCGATCGCTGATCGGTGATCGCCGATCTCCTCGTCTACGCCGGCGCTCTCTGAGATGGGGTGCTAGCTAGCTAGAGAAGGTCTTCTTGTTGTGGCTGAAGGCTCGAGTTGAGTTGGCGATGAGACTTCCAGCGTCGAGGGGGCGGTATATATAGCGTTCGGAGGAGCAGGGTTCAAATGCGCTCGTCGTCGTGTTCCTGCCGTCCGGCCTGCAGCTGCGGGTTGATCGATTAGGTTGTGATTTTTCTGCGTGGGGAAGCTTTTCGCGGGCGGCCATGCTGCATCGAAGTGACCTGCTTCGATCGAAGCCCTCGTGTGTCATGTCAACCCTGCAGATGGTTTGGTGCACCCACTGGAGTGCCCCCGGTTGGCGCATGCGCAGTGGTTTCACGGAGCAAGCGACTTACTTGAGAATGACACGAAAGGTGCGTTTTACTTTCCACCGTGCTTTTCATGTGTGTCACATCCAGTTCGGTTACACGACTCACTTGATCTGCGTCTGTCTGGAAACATTATTGCTCATTTAACGGTCGGTAGTCATAGCAAAATGACATTAACGGTCGGTATATAGGGACGTGGAGTTTCTGAGCCCGAGCTCAAACGAGCTCGGGTGAACAGAAAAAATCGAAAATTTTGAAAAAAAAAATTGATATTTTTTTGGGTGCAAACATTGACAAAATATTTACGTGCTCACAAAATTTCAAGATCTTGAAATCACATTTTTGAAAGCCGTGGAAGAAACAAAATTGATACTCCAAAAATATTATCTTCAAAAGCATTTTGAAGTGCTGATTTTGTTTTTTTGCCATGACTTTCAGAAATGTCTTTTCAAGATGAGATTTTGCAAGCACGTAAAACTTTGTCAATGTTTGCATAAATAAATTCAGATTTTTTGAACCTTTTTTTTCATTTTCTTTGGATTTTACTGTTCATCCCGAGCTCAAATGAGCTCGGGAGCAGAAGATGACTTTTGGGTAAATATGGATTACTTTTCTCTCGACTTGTGTCCACCTTCGCCGTTTTCAAAGCTTTTTCACAAAGTTGACATTGTGAGCTTCAATCAGTGGTATGCAAATCTTCTCGGTCTTTGTTTCAATTTTACACTGTTGATTTGTGGTTTTGGAAGCTACATCATGCAGATGAAGTATGGTTCTGACTTGTGTCTATAGATGAAATGCCACTCGAGAGATGTGTTTTCTTGGAGGTATTTCCAACAAGTATAGAGATTTTTTTTAGCGAAATAATGTGGTATGGAGCTTGAAGGGTTAGATAACCCACACCTCACTTCCCCTATCCAAGGCAGCAGCAACCCAGCCGGCGATGTCGACCCATCTACAGTTAAGCATACCCACCGTACATACAGAACCCGCATGCGAGCAATGTCCCATGCGGCACAACAGTCAAATTAAAACAAATTGACAAATGGATAGGCACGTCTAAATAATGCACAAAGTGGTTAAATAATAAAATAGGTGTACTCTGGTCATTTAATGCATCAAAAATGATATCTAACAAATTGTTTTTTATGTTCGAGGGATTTTTCATCCTTCACAGGCATCTTTTTTCCCAATAGAAACTTTCGTTCTATTCATAATCAATTATGGTAATACAAAGAACATCAGAGATAACCCAAAATTATAACTAGGTCCGTGGACCACTTAGCGACGACTACAAGCACCGGAGTGAGCTGAAGACGCGCCGCCGTCAAAGTTTTCCTCCATCACGAGAGACGGGCAAATCTTGTTGTAATAGACAGTCAGGAAGTCGTCGTGCTAAGGCCACACAGAACCAACACATGAGAGCAGCAATCATCACCGATAAAGAGAGTTATAGATTGTAAACACTCAAACAAAGATGGGCAAAGATCGGATGCAAACAGATCCATCGAAGATCATAACCGATCAAATCCCACGAGATCTGAGAGAGACACACCTCCACACGGTCTTCAACCATGCTAGACGCGTGCCACATCACCTCAACCAAGATGTTGAACCTAACACCGGTGAGGGGGTGATGTCCTCCACACCTCCACGGCCCAAAGGCCGGATGACGCCGACGAAAAGAGGAGGACAACCTGGGGTCTTTTCGTGTGGAGGAGGAAGGAACGCGTCCCTCACAGGCATCTCTAATTTCAAATGTTACAAAAGGTCAGCGGAGTTTGCTCACCATCTTTTTCCCGATCGGTTAATCTGCCGCTGTCAGAAGCTAGCGAAGGCAGAGAGCATACGGGCTACGCTTCATACCATCGCTTGCCAAGGCTTGTGGACAAAGCAACCTGGTATTGAAATCCAATGATTAGGAGTCAACCTTGACATTTTCTACCATTCAATCTGTCCTACGAATGGTTGGCCAAATGGCCACCATAAAGATGCTTAGACTGAACTTGGTCGAAATGTGTGTGTATGTGTATGAGCTGAAGTCTTTTTGCATTGACCTCAGTACCAAAGAGGTGGATTTGGTAAGCTACATTGCTGCAGGTGTCAAATATTTGTTCCAACAAATCAATCAATCTTGTGACGATGGCAACAATGGCAACCACACCTGATTGCTCAGTCCCACATGCCAAGCCTGCCTCGCGCCTCCTTGGAAGCTAAGGCTATGCAACACCTCAGCCCGCCATGAGACGAGTTCCCAACCCCTCCATCCATCCATCCATATACGACTCCCCCGAAGAGTTTGGTACCGATCAGCTCAAAGTCTACGACCGCGTAACTCTGAAATAGTATGAAATTTCTCAAGTGAGCTTTTTAAAACCGGGTGTTCCTTTCACGCGCAACAACAAAAGAACGGAGCCCTTTTGAATTCGTTCAGTAAGAAACGCCGAGGTGCGAAATGCGTCAGAGGATCTATCTGATATGATCTGGTCTGGTCTGGTGAGTTAGGAATGGCAGGTGAGAACAACAAAATAGCGCAAAACAACAACCCCGATCCACCCCCCAAAAGCCCCAACCGACTGGAGAAAATTGTCCAGATAAGTACAGTAGCTGGGCGTGCAATCATCCCTGACAGCGCCACTTGATTGGTGATTATTGTGTCTGATAGAGTAGATAATTTCTTATTGTCCCTCCATGCCGCATGTGCCTGATTTCCTTTTTGGCGGAACGGTTTCGGCGGTTGGAGAAAAATGACAGGCGCCGCTGCGCATGGACCTTATTTAATTGTGGTATAAGGGTTGGTTAAGGCATGCTCAATGTCTTCTAACCACAACTGCAAATGCACTTTTACTCCGTAGTTTATGAAGTTGTTAATCTATCCGCTGGAGACTTGGGTTTCAATTTATCCTTGTGCTACGGTTTTAGTACTACCATCTGGGTTCTGGCTATGCAGATCGAGTATAAACTTGGTTCACGTAGTTCTTCAATGTTAGTTTTCTATAGTGTCGACGCCGGTATGACGAATAAGAGAATCTACAACTGGGCCCATCAAATCCTCTATACGTCCGGATGGACAGTTCGATCACTGCTCGATCACGAAAATGCCACTCAATCGAACCCCTCAAATCAATCATATACGTCCGGTTTGTCCGGCACCCCTACGCCCAGCCCATATGTGAGGCAGATATGAGGGTGCCCGGACGCGTCCACCACATCTAATTGACAGGTGGGCCCCATGTGTCCGTTGGAAGGTCCCAAGTCGGCATTCACGCCGCCGCTCTGGCGGGCCACTCAAGGGGCCAAGCCCGATTATTTAAGCCAGACGGCGAGCCTCAACCCTAGCCACTCCCATCTCATCTCCTACCTACTACAAAATGCTAACCCCGAAGTGTCGACTGGAGATCCAAATGAAGATGCACGCACGACGCGCCGCTCGCATTGCGGCCGACCTGTAGCCGAACTCTCCAGGGGAAGAAGAGGATGCAGTGCCGGAGCAGGAGGAGGTGGAGGCGCCATACACTAGTAGAAAAAGGGCCTATTGTCCCGGTTCGTAAGGGCCATTTGTCCCGGTTATTGAACCGGGACTAAAGTGTCGGTACTAATGCCCTAGACCTTTAGTCCCGGTTCTTATACAAACCGGGACAGATGGGCCTCCACGTGGCCGGGCGGCGAGCCCAGGTAGGAGGCCCTTTGGTCCCGGTCGACGGTACGTACTATACGTATAGAGAGGACTAGACACGCTAGCTAGTAAGCAAATGAAGGAAATAAAAGATCGTCATGAACATATGCATACAAAGAGAAGTGATATCGACCACCTCTCCTTCTCTGAGAGATTGGTCGAACAACAAGTTCTCGTATATCTATCCGACGCTACTGGCTACATATATACAATATAATTATCTCTTACAATATTGTCGGCGTTCTGGGAACGGGGGTACCCAGACTTGCCTGCCTACGGCCTGCGGCGTGGCTCAAGGAGTGGCCCATTATGGCCCATCTTCATCGACACATGCTCAAGACCCTCACGAGGGGCCGAGCCTCGTGGGGCGGACGACAGGAAGCTTCCTCAGGCACAGCCTCGTCAGGCTGGCTCGCGAGGAGGCGGAAAGATCAAGGCGGGGTACCTCACGAGGTGCCCATGACACAAGCCATGACGACCGAAGCCAGGCGGGCGTCGGCCTGCGCAGAGTCCTTGTTTCCTCTTTGGTGCAAAGGGGGCAAGCGCAGGCATGGGTATCAAGCAAAGGCAACCATTTCGGTGCAATAAGACCAAGACCAGCAGAACGGCAGGATGGAGGTCATCGTGGAGCCCAAGCCGGCATCATCATCAGAGCCTTTGGCAGGCGAGGACCAACTTTAGTCAGGATAAGTGTACTAGATGTTCCCCTTCAAAATGGCCAATTGTTGGCGCCCTTCCCGCTCAATATTTGGGAAGAGGACCAGGGTCTCGCTCTATAAATAGGACTAGCCACCACAGTAGAAGGGGATTCAATCCGGATTCAATCCTCCCCAAGAGGCGTCACCTCCACAAAAACTCCTCCCCTCGCGAGGCAGTTCTTCCTTTGTATTGTTCATCATCAGACCCCGAGGCAATCCACCACACCACAAACTAGAGTA